AAAAAATTCAAAAACTAATTTACTTCTTCAGTCTCTCCTCCAGCTGCTGCTTGTCATTCTCCAGGTCCATTACATTTTCCTGGGTTAACTTCAAGTCACCCTCCAGCTTCCTCTTGGCTCTCTCAAGGTCCATACGAACCTTCTTTTCCTGTTCCAGGGAGCCCTCAAGCTGTAGGGATTAAGATTAAAAATATGAAGCATATCTGTTTGGGATCCTATGTTTGTCTTTTCCCAATGCAGAGGAAGAAATGCATATGTACAAATGTACACATACATCATCAACTTGCTGTTCCAGTTTAGCCTTGGCTTTAGTGAGGGTGTTCACTTTGTCCTCCTCACTCTGGAGGTCATCCAGTGTTTGCTGGTGAGCTTCCTGCAGAGCCTTCTTCTCCTTGGTCAGCTTAGCAATGATTTCATCCAGAGCTGCCATTTCTTCAGTCAGGTTCTTCACCTGAAAGAATAAAGTAGAACCTCAATAGACCAACACACAAGCTATTGCTTGTAAGGTGACATAGTTAAATGAATGTGAATGTTGACCTTGTTCTCCGTAGCATGCTTCTCCTTCTCCACTTTAGCTAGAGTGAGCTCCAGATCATCAATATCCTTCTTCAACTCAGAACACTCATCCTCTAGCTTCCTCTTCTTGGCAGTCAGTTCTGAATTCATCTCCTCCTCATCCTCCAATCTTTCTGTCAGCTCCTTGACTTTGGCCTCCAGTTGGATCTTGTTCTTGATTAGCCCTTCACACCGCTCCTCAGCATCTGAGAGATTATCTTGTTCCTAAAATAACATTATTTAAGTAATTTAGCAAGTATTTAGCAATCATATTATATGACCAATGTTTCAATAAAACTAGCGAGAAACTGATTCACATAAATAGTCACATAATTATCGTGCCAGAAGAAACAAACTTCAACTGTAGCCTTTTACTGTATCATCTGTCTCAGTAGAGCTGAATATACAATTAAACTTACAGACTGGACTTGCAATTGCAGGTCATTCTTCTCTTGGAGAAGAGAGACCATCTTCTCTTCAAGCTCCTTCCTGCGAGCCTCAGATTTTGCATATGCTTCTTTCAGTTTGAGGAACTCCTCCTTCATGTTGGCCATTTCCTTCTCAGCCTCAGCAGACCTCAGCAAAGGTTTGATCTTGAAATACAGCTTCATCCAGGGCCAGTTCTTCACACCCATGAAGGCTCGTACGTTCCATTGGATCACAAGCAAGGCATCCCTGGATTCATATAAATAAAGCTTTTTAAGTTTCTTAGGGCTTTGTATGAATTTAGCAGTAGACATTGTGAAGAATATTCCTAACCTGCGTTCCACTATCTTCTGGAACTCAATTCTTGACAGAAGACCTCGGGCCCTGGACTGTATTCCAGTGATGATGAGAGCTAAACGATCGTCTCTCATCTCCTCCAGTGTACCCAGTAGACCAGCCTTGAAGAACACCTGCAAAAAATGATAGAATATTGTCGAAGGTCACATGATCATATTCCCACAGTGTTTTAATTTTCTTCAACATGGAATATCCTTATTTTGATTGCAGTGAGCCCTTGTAACATTATAAGATATCGTTTTAGATTTGTAACATCCTTCAGCAAAATATGGAACTTGGACGTTATAACAGTAGGGGGATTTCCTTGGTTTGGTTTTTCATCATAATACCTTAGTGTGCCCAAATTTGTACTGGTTGTGGTCAATAGTCAAAGAGCCCAATAGTTTTTCAGCTCCCTTCCTGCTGTCAATGAACTGCCCTTCTGGAATAGCAGCAGGGTTGAGGATGCGGTATCTGCAAAGAGACGCCTTATTAAATATGATCTGTAATGTCTCAAGGGCATATGAGCCACATGCAGACAAGGTGATTGTTTTGCCTCTGTTTGAAATCCCCGTAGAGGATCCTATTTGGGAAGCCCTTTCGGCAGATCCTGATGCCTTCCAGCACACCGTTACAGCGCAGCTGGTGCATGACCAGAGGGTTCTCCATGGCTCCTGGAGTCTTGGTCTCGTTGGGGATGATGCAGCGGACAAAGTGTGGATGAGTCGATCTCAGGTTGGTCATCAGCTTATTCAAGTTCTCCTGTGTTTGGAAAACACTATGTTATTTTTCACAAAACCAAAAGAACCCACTTGGCCGTACAATCGTTTTATTGTTAGTTATATTTTGTGAAGTTCCTCACCCTGTGGAGAGCAGACACAGTCTGGAAGGAGGAGCCTTTCTTTTTTCCTCCTCCCTTGCCTCCCTTTCCACCTCCCTGCTCCGCAGCTGAAAAGTATTATGCTGAGGTTAAGTCAACACCTGAACAAAAAGATTACATATTTTTGATACCTGAAAGAACATAAAGAAAGTATAATTATTACAACATGCCTGTAAAATACATATTTAATTGAGACCTTACCTGAATCAGCGCCAGCATAATTTGCAAAAAGATTAGCTAGCAGTTTCATTGTAGACTTCTGATACAGTCCCACAACAGTCTCATTTAAAGGGTCCTTGTTCTTCACCAGCCAGTTGTTGATGTTGTAGTCTACAGTGCCAGCATAATGAACCAGGGAGAAATGGGCCTCTGGTTTCCCTTTAACAACTCTGGGCTTCTGGAAGTTGTTTGATTTTCCCAGATGGTTGTCGTACAGTTTAGCTTTGAAGGTAGCATCGCTAGCCTTAGGGAACATGCACTCCTCTTCAAGGATGGACATGATGCCCATGGGCTGAAGAAAAGCAAGCAGTATCACCAAAAATTTAACACGACCGTGTTGAAGATAAACATATATAAGCATCCATATTCACGTATAATGATATACTTGTCAAATTGCTTTTCACTTACAAGTTCCAAAATAAAATTTTGATTTTTAAGATATAGGCTCTGGTCCCCCCGCAACCCCAGTGGGGATTAAGGTGGATTTTTAAGATAAAGTCTTACCCATTACTGTTACACTCCACCTTGTGACAACGTTAAATGTGAAAACCAAGTCAACCCACCTTCTCAATGAGGTCAATGCAGGCCTGCAGGTCCATACCAAAGTCAATGAACTCCCACTCAATCCCCTCTTTCTTGTATTCTTCCTGCTCCAGCACAAACATGTGGTGGTTGAAGAACTGCTGCAACTTCTCATTAGTGAAGTTGATACACATCTGCTCAAAGGTGTTGAACTGAGAAAAAAAAATAGAAGAGATGGTTCTTTAATGTTCCCAAGTAAGGAAAAGGTGATAAGAGAATGAGAGTCACAGTACTGTACAAAACTCTTAGGCAGTTAAAGGAAATGTTTGACGCTATCTGGGTAGTAAATATATATTTCCCGAACAAAAACAAATGCATTTTAACATCAGAATATATGCATATGAAGAGTGACACAATAAAAACTAACAGTAATTTCTTATTTTCTCCAAGAAGTTACTGACTTGATGAACACCACTTCAGTTCCCAAACCTCTGTTAAGGGGCACGCCAGCCATTCCATGTATTTGTTAAATTTTATCACAAGTTCACTCAATTAATGAATTTAAATAGTTAATAAGTGAGTTATTGATTAGCCATACAAGGTGTGCAAGTGGTCAAATTAAAAAATACATGGGTCTATTTGATAGTTGCTGCAAATACTGGATGATTTTAGGAGGGGTTAAGCTGACACATTTTGACAGTCATAATAGCAAAGTATCTTTTTCTATGACTGCCTAAGACTTTTGCACGGTACTGTACCAATAAAAATATTACAATATGACACCAAGACTCACATCAAAGATCTCAAAGCCGGCGATGTCCAGCACACCAATGAAATATTGGCGAGGCTGCTTGGTGTCCAGGGATTGGTTGATTCTCATCACCATCCATAGGAACATCTTCTCATATACTGACTTAGACAACGCACCCATAGCATAATACACCTGTGAAGTGAGACATAGTTAGTTTTAGTGATTATAATACTACCCATCCATCTTCCGATTGCTTATCCTGGACAGGGTCGCAGAGTGACCTGGAACCTATGACAGACAGAACAGAGCGCAACACTGGGGTACACCAGCAATGTGATGTCAGACCTATTTCCATAGAAATCTTTCCTCACCTGATCAACATTCTGGCCCTTGGTGACCCACTCATTGCCTACTTTGACCCTTGGATGACACAGACCCTTGATAAGATCAGCAGAATTGAGCCCCATCAGATAAGCAGATTTGTCAGCATCTACAACAGAATAGATAGAAGATATCTTGCAAATGAATGATCATACCTACAAGTACTTCATCTAATTATGATATAGAACAGGAGCAAAACAGGAGCTTTTTGAATAAGCTGAGATGAGACGTTTTCTATTGGCTAACATTAACATTGCAGAGTGCAATTGTCTTGACTATGTTTGTGGAGCTAAGTACCCACCTTCAGTACCATCAGCTTCTGCCTGTTCCTCACGCTGCTTCTGCTTGAACTTCATGTTGCCGTAGTGCATGATGGCACCGATTAGCTTGTAAATGCTATTCTTCTCCTCCTGAGTGAAGCCCAGCACATCAAAAGCTTCCTGCAGCAAAGAAGCACAGAGGATAGGATGGAGCTTTCATGTCAACTCAGGGAGTTATTCAGCCTGGGAATTAGGAAACATTACTTCATTAATCCATGATTAATGCTTAAAGAAAAGCTAAAATATTCACTCACATCAGTGGCACAAAGTTCATCACCATCATTAATGGAGGCTACAGTGGTCTCTCCTTGGGAGATGTAGGCGTAGTCGTAGGGGTTGTTGGTAATAAGCAGCATCTCTAATTGGGAAAAAACATCAAATAATTTAATATCCGGAAACATCTGTGAGCAAAAAGAAATGGTCAGTAGTGCCACAACTGCAACACCAACCCAGCAATTCTGGCTTCCTTTGGGACAGAATTTGGTAGAAGATGTGATAGTCTCTCTCAGCTTTCAACTGGAATGTCACACGAGACTTCTCCAGAAGATCTAGAAAAGAACAAGTAATAATTCCATTGAAACTAAATTGTTGTCCTTAATGAATGTACCAAGATGCATCTTCAAAATCTTCACAAGAAGCTCCACTTACATGTCTCAATGTCAGCAGAAGCCAGCTTTCCACTGGCTGCAAAGTGAATTCTGATGAATTTACCCTAAAAAGAGTCAAATCTCATTATTTATTTTCAAATGCATATACATAAACTATGCTTTCTGTGTCGGTGTTTCATTAAACACTCACAAATCTGGAGGAGTTGTCGTTCCTGATGGTCTTGGCATTACCAAAGGCCTCCAGGGCAGGATTGCACTGGATGATTTGATCCTCCAGGGTCCCCTGGGATATCAGCCAGTGAACAGGTACACTATGTTACTGGGGCTCCAGAACACCTCTCCAAAGAATGTTGAACCCAGCTTAATTCTTCTAGAAAGCTCACACATCATCCAAGGTTGCATGTACCTTCTTGTCAGACACGTCCCTCTTCGGACCCCCAGCTGCAATGCTGGCAAAGTACTGAATGACCCTCTTTGTGTTCACAGTCTTCCCAGCACCAGATTCTCCACTGTGGTCAAGAACCAAATGTGTTAAACCATAAAGACACAATTTAACATTAAAACACAGTAAAAAAAAGAAAAAAAAAACAGGATTTCTTCCATTTTCCAATAAGTTACTGATATCTTGTTGAGTGGCTAGACGAACACTACTTCAATTTCCAGCCTCTCCTTAGGGGCACCTCAGCCATTCCATGTATTCTTGAAATTTCACCACCAGCATAATCAATTAATTGACTTAATTAGTTATTTTGTCATGCACTGATCATTTCGATCCTCCTGTGTGCCACGCCCCTTCATTTACCTTATGTGGAATCCCCATGTTATCAGTTGTTTCTAGTTATGTTAATCTCTGTTGTGTGTTTAAGTGAGTTTCTGTGAGTGATTCTCCAGTCCGGTCATTCACGTCATAGAAGTTGTTCCGTCCTGTTGTTCCGTGCTTCTGACTGTGTCCTACCTGAATAAACTCTGTGTTCACCCATCACCCAGAAACGTGACATGTATAAGTCAATGAGGTATTAATCAGCCAATAAAAGTGGGGTAGTGATTGAGTCAAAAGTACATGGGTGTATTGGACAGTTGCTGTAAATACTGGGGTGATTTTAGAAGAGGTTTTGAAATGGCTAAGCTGACCCACTTCAACAGACGTAATATAGTTTTGCACCGATGAGGTAATTTAAATATTTTTTTTTGACTGCCTAAGTCTTTTGCACAGTACTGTATGTGCCAGTTTTGAGTTTTTTGACATCACTCACGTGATAAGAATGGACTGGTTTTCTCTGTCTGCAAGAGAGAAGAGAGCAAAGCATTTGTTTTTATGGTTTCCTCTGCCTATTCCAAATGTAGATTGGCACTGTGGTGAAATTATTTGGCTGCACAGTGAATTTGAAAAAGTGTTCTATGTATTTACCTGTCAGCATGTACTGGTAGGCATTATCAGAGATGGAGAAGATATGTGGAGGAGCTTCACTTCTCTTCTTGCCTCTATAAGCAATGACCACTTCCTGATTGTAGACTGGCAGCCACTTGTAGGGGTTGACAGTGACACAGAACAGCCCAGAGTAGGTCTGCAAGATGGAGAAAGCAGTCTGTCTCAGAGCTGTCATTGTTTATGTTGGTAGTACTTTTAAGGATATAATGATGAATCTGCTGGCCTGGCTCTGTGTGTGTGGAGTTGCGTGCTTTCTCCGGATACTCCAATTCCTCCCCCCTCCCCCCAGCCCATAAACATGCTGAGGTTAACTGGAGTTGCCAGATTGTCCATAGGTGTGCATGTGTGAATGCTGTGTGTGTGCACAGCTTCTGGGATAGGCTGTTTTCGATGCAAAGTGGGTATAGAAAATGGATGGATGGATGGATGGATGGATCTGTATACTCACGTAGATCATCCAGGCTGCGTAACGCTCTTTGAGGTTAAACAGCACAGCGGGTTCATGAAGGAAGGTAAACATCGCCATGTCTTCGATTTTATCGAACTTTGGCGGGTTCTGGGGGTGGACGTCTGCTTCTTTCACAACAACGGTCTGTGAGCAAGCAGCAATAGTAATCAAATGTATAAGTCATTGTAAAAATAGAAAACATCACACTCTTTTCACTGTTTTACTTTGTAAACATCTAACTCAACCCGCTTAGTTACACCATTTCCAAAAAAGTTGGGATGCTGCATAAAATTTAAATAAAAACAGAATGCAATGATTTGCAAATCATATAAACGCATATCTCATTTAAAATAAAACAAAGACAACTTAGCAAATGTTGAAACTCAGAAATTGTATTGTTTTATGACAAATATATGGTCAATTTCAATTTAATGCCAGCAACACGCTTCATAAAAGTTGGGAGACGGGCAACAAAAGACTGGAAAAGTTGCACTGACGATAAACGATCCACTTAACGATCTGCGATTGTGTTAAACGAGCCGTTCACATCTCGCCCATCCTCTCTCAGCTACACTGCTTACCGGCTCTTGTATCAAATTCAAAATATTGCTTCTCGCTTATAATGCTCTGTATGACCTTGCTCCTAAAATTCTGGCAGGGGGGGGGGGAGCCAGGAACAGGATTCAGAACCACTGTGTGACGCTAAAACACCTGGTTGAATATCTCACAACTAATTAGGTTAATTGGCAACAGAGTCTCTGTACACTGAAGATGGGAATTCTGTGACCACTCTGTGAAAGACTGCGTGGGCAAATGGGGCAATAATTTAAGAATAATGTTCTTCAATGTGATATTTCAAATGATTTGGGAATTTCATCATCTATGGTACATAATATCATTAAAAGATTAAGAGAATCCAGAGAAATCTCTGTACGTAAGGGACAAGGCCGAAAACCAAGATTGGATAGCCGTGATCTTCCGGTCTTCAGGTCCACTGCATTACAAACAGACATGATTCTATAGTGGAAGACACTGCATGGGCTCAGGATCACTTCCCGAAAACCACTGTCTTTGAACACAGTTTGTCGCTGCACCCACAAATGCAGGATGAAACTCTACCATGCAAAGAAGAAACCATATCTAACCATGATCCTGAAACATCACTGACTTCTCTGGGCCCGAGCTTGTTTAAGATGGTGCCCATGGTTTGGGTAGCAGGCACATCTGAGAAGGCATCATTAATGATGAATGATATATACAGGTTTTTGTAGCAACATATGCTACATTCCAGACAACGTCTCTTTCAGAGAAGACGATGTACATGTCAGCAAGACAATGCCAAACCACATTCTGTGCGTATTACAACAGCATGGCTCCATAGTAGAGGAGTCTGGGTGCTCTGGCCTGTCTGCAGTCCAGATCTGTCACCCACTGAAAACATTCAGCGCATCATAAAACAAAAAATGTGACAAAGGAGACCCTGAACTGTTGAGCAGTTGAAATCGTATATCAGGCAAGAATGGGACAACTTTTCACTTTCAAAACTCCAGCAACTGGTGTCCTCAGTTCCCAAACCTTTACAGAGTGTTGTTAAAAGAAGAGGTGATGCAACACAGTGGTAAACATGCTCCTAACCCAACTTTGTTGAAACATGTTGCTAGCATCAGATTCAAATTGAGCCTAAATATACATAAAACAATAACATTTCTCCATGTCTTTGTTCTATTTTCATTAAATATGAGTTTATATGATTTGTAAATTATTGCATTCAGTTTTTATTTACATTTTACACAGTGTCCCAATGTTTTTGGAAAGAGGGCTGTATGTGAGAGCACTGTATAATTAGATTTTGCCCACAAAAGCATCTTAGTATTCAGAAAAATGCTTCTAAAAGAAAGGACACAAAGCCACCGATGAAGACAAACACGAGAACAGAGGTGGACATTTTAGATCCAGAAAGTAAAGATTTTGTTTCAACCAGACAGTTGCATATAAAGAGCTACAGTAACAGTACTCAACTGCTTGGTTGAAACAAAATCTTGTCGTATGTTTTTACTTTCTGGACCTGAAACATCCACTTCTGAATGAGAGTTACCGGTTTGGTCATGAACAAAACTTTTGAGTTTGATTTTCTTGTACAAGACCACTGTTCAGAATGTAGCCATTGCCTGTTATATATCACTATGCATTTTGGAAGTTTGGATCTTTCTTCGCAATACCCTGATCTGTTTTTTCAGATATTATGCTCCCTTACCTTCCCTTTCTCAGTTTCACAAGTGACTTTGTCACCATCCCTGCTGATGATGGACCCCTTGACGTACTCTTCCTCAGTGTCCGGCACGAAACACTCCTTCTTCATGTCAAATATGCGAGTCTGTGCCTCCAGACGTTCCCTGTCTGATTTCCGCAGGTAGGAGGCAGCGGGCCCAAACTCTGCCATTTGTGCATCTCCCATTGTTTTTAGCCTTTCAGTCATGGTAAAAAGGTTGACGCATGTTTATGTTAACACTAGAATACAGCACTCCAAATTTAACATGAATTATTTTAGATATGAATCAGTGTGAGCACAGCACTGAGCTTAATACCCTTCAATTAGAAAGACTTAATTTATTAATTATGCAGAATCATTGATCACTGCCAGACTCTTATGGACTAATGGTTAAAAGGCTGAGGCATGTTATTTTATATGGTTATGTGGTCTGTTTATATGAGATGTGAGGTTCTCAGTGCCTCTGCCATGCTTAATGGCAGACTGACAGTCTGTCAGTCTGAGAGTCTTCAGTATTTCCTCAAATTAAGCTGTCATATCAGATATTTGCACACAGCTGCAAATCAACATAGCTGCTGAAACACCACATAAATCATCAAAACCTTTTTAAAGAGATGTCACATTAGTGTTTCTTATTTTAAAGCATTTCTTGGTTTATTTGATGTGTATTATTTATTCGATCTATATTGTTATACATTGTTATTTATAAGTTACATGATGACCTATGCTGATGTGACACACACTTTTTTCTAACATTTGAATGAATGTAAATGCATTAATAAAGTTATTATTTGAATTTTCCGTATGCCCTTACCTTGCTGTGAACTCTTGAAGAGAAGTTCACTGTATTTGTCGGCCCTGTAAAGAGACAAAGAAGGAACACGTTAAGGTCTTCAGGACGATGTGGACGGGTGCCTTCGGAAATGTCTCACTGTGGATGAGGAGATGAGACAGACTCCCTAAGCCCAGCATGTGGTGTGTGCATGTCTGCCTTCGAAGGACTGTGGTGCACGTCCTGTAGTTGTGTAGCCTTGTCCCTCCTTACCTCCAGATTACGCAGTGACCTGGATGCGGCCAGGGCCTCTTCTCCCTTAATAAAGGAAGGCAGACTACCAAATATGGAGGCACCTCCAAATTTGGGTGCATTGTTGTTTCTCAGTTTGGTCTCAATGCCCGAGGGTGGGGTGAATGAGCAACTGGCACAGGGAGGGCGGGTAGCGGGCAGAGGTGGAGAGAAGCTGCGTGCTGAAGGGATCTGGGAGGAGAGTCCAGCACCTGCCAAGGCTTGGCCTGCTCCATATTAGGAATTCTTTGTGCTTAAGTGGCGTCAGGCAGCCATTGTTCACTGGAATAGAAAACATCCAATATAGTAACGAGCACAGAAGGCACCATCACTGTTTTCAAACAAAATAAAGGTGAAAATGCCAGAGGACGTAGCCATTAAGCAGACTCTTCTGGGGCAGGTCGGAATGAGGTGAGTATCATGCATCATCATGCATTACTGGATGATTCCTTCATGAATATCTCACGGGCCGTTTCTCTCCTCACTTCTCTAAAACAAGGAGGAACATCATTCTTTGAAAGTGAAAAGTTGTCCCATTTTTGCCTGCTATACGATTTCAACTGCTCAACAGTTCAGGGTCTCCTTTGTCACATTCTTCGCTTTAATTTGACATTTGCAGCATCCCACAGTCAATCAGCTGCTGCCAAGGAGAGTCTTATTGGGAGGAACTAATTTTGGGGTGCAGAGGGTGGTCACCATTGTCACCATTTGTACACTGGAAATGTAGGACATATTCAGCTGTCTAAGGCATGTCCTGCTGAAGGCCATGTTATGATCAGATATGTCGTAAAGCATTATGTTAGCATATGATTAATAAACAAGCTACTGCATTATATTACTGCCCTTTACCCCAAATATGTTTAGCCAGACGGATTCAGGGAAAAAAATACCACGAAACATGACAAGTGGAAAATCCCACACATGCTTGAAAGAATAATGCTCAGGAGGGCTTTGTCTGTCTGTAAATGCTGCCCATAGGTTTGCTCCGCTGTGTCCTTGAGGACAAAGATAACCCTGTGAAATTCCTGTGGGGGGGGGGGGCTTGGCTTGCTGGAGGAGGACGACGCGCTGTGACAGACCACCCATCATCGTCATCTGTGTGTGGCCAGCTGCACCGGCAGGTGACCCCACCAGCCCAAAGGTTTCATGCTACATAAATAAAACCCCAGTGACAGATATTTAGCCGGTCACCGCGGCATCGCACAATGGACGCGAGAGGCGGGGGTCACAATCCAGGGCTACTAACTCAAATGGCTGTAGACAGCTTGAAGCATCCTTGCCACACAAGAAAGGCGGCTGAATGACCTGTTTAACAATCCATCTTTTGGTCAACGGTGTGTTCTTAAGGGTGTTGATGTCTGGACCATTGTATACAAAATCTAGAGAAGTATTCAACAGGGATGTTAAGGTACACCAATAATGCACCCCAGAATGTATGAAGGTATATTTGCAGATCTTCCAGTAAAAACATACCACTGAAATTATAATGCATTTAATTAAAATACAACAGTTTAATGATCCTATGTGAGAAGGATTAATATTCCTCAAATAATATTTCTAGAATTTTTTTATTGTATACAATGCTGTATATCACTCATAAAAAGTATACAGTATTTTTTACTGAAGGGTGTGTGTATTTTCCTCTGCTGCAATGAGAAAATAAATGTTAGAACAATTTACACTAAATGTACTTGCTTCACTTGAAATCCCCCATCAAGCTATTTGGACATATCTTTTAAAGCTTATGTGTTTTGTATATGTTAAATATTATAAAAAGTAATTAATTGTAGCTATACAATTAAAAGTTACACAATTAAAAATTGTATATTATCTTCTTCTTTTATATTATCTTCTACTATAATGCCTGTTTTGCATGCAAATTTCTTCCAACATTACTAATATATTAGGTAACAAAAAGTTTTTGTTTTGCATTTTCTTAACTTAATAAAAAAAAACACATTTAAATTCCTGTTTCAGTAAAGCCAAGCACTGACTGCAAAAGGAAAAGTTTGATTGCTGAAGACAGCCACCTTCCAACTTAAGGCCAGCAAATTTTTATCAAGATAAAGTGCCATATTTATCTATTTATTATCGATAACATTGTGCTGTCATTTTTTCAAGTTCCAGTCTTTTTGTGTTATGAAGTTTTTGAGTGTTTTGCCTCAATCCTATTTTTCCCATAATCTCTGGTTTCTACAAGCTTTTTGCCGTATACGGCTATCACGTAATAGGAGAACATACTGTATTTTGCATGTGTGTATATACACATACACACACTGGATTGTGACACCCTGTAAACACAGCAGCCGTTGAAGCTGCTGTCTTACGGATTTAAGTGTGAAAACGCAGCCGGATTCCTCACAGCGACGGAGCAGCGACAAAACACCGCACGTCAAGTGTCTGTGGTGAGCGCTGACGGGGTCGCCACTGCTGAGTGGCTCTAGCACCATGGTGACAAATGTTTTGCACGGCTGAGAGATGCCGAGATGTTGTTAAAGGGCTGCTTCAGATGATGACGAGTGACGGCAAAGACGGGACACGAACCTGCCGGATTCTCCTGTGAGGATGGCATTTAGCCAGTTGGTTCTCTCATAACTGCTTCCCGAACGCTGTGAGCGAAGTGTTCAGCGGCCACGTGGCCGCAGTTGCAGGTCATGGCCTGCGAGCTGCGCTTTGCGCTCCATGCAATTCACTAATTCTTTTATTAGCCCAGTCTGACACACACCATGCTGTGCCTCTTTCACACGGTTACGTAGCCCATTCCCAGCTGCTCTGACCCCGTACTGATCAAACAGCCAGAGACCTCCCCCCCCAACACGGCCCTCATCTGTAACCTGAGTTCCCTGTTGTTTTAATCCAAATCTCTTTTTTTTATCACATGTCCAAATGCACTCCCCCCCATTCTTTGGTATTGAATGTCTCTCTCTTCTGTTAGACATATAGAGCCTCTGTTCATATTTATAGAACCAAAAAGGCTTTATTTAGGAAAATGTCATTTCAGCACCGATTATTCAGAACCTTTTGTTGTGACATTTACAAAATGAAGTCACATGCACAGCCACCGTGTTGGCATTGTATCGGGCAGTGAGAGGTCTGTGCAGCTAGCAGAGAAATGATCTGTTCCTACTTTCACTCTTTAGAAGCCTATGTATGGTTTTAGGTTGACATTATATCGGCCGCTGAGGAATCTGGCCACATGCAATTAAAAGAAGTGATATAATATATCCCTGTTTACAATTCCTCCACATAGTTTACCCATTGACTGCTTTCACAGAGATAACCATGATCAATTAGGGCAGAGGAGGAAGATGGCAAAAGCAACCCATCGACATGACAAAACTCTCACCCCGAGGGAAGTCAAACTGAATTTAGAAGCCTCTCTCCTCCCAGGGGCTTCTGCTGGTACCCGCAGGGACTGTCCCATCCCAAGGGTTCAAGGTGACTGGCTCTGATGTTTGGGACCCAGCCCTGAAGCACTACTGACAAAGCAGCGCTGAGGGGACTCACTGATACCAAGCAGGTACAGTCCTGTCTGTAGTTCATCGGACACTACAGGAGAGACCCAACAGCACCAAGGATCTGGAGACAAACTACTTGGAGCCCAATCGTAAATGCATCAATCAGTAACAGAACAGGGCTGAAGAAGAAGAAGGTGCACCATCATCTAAGGAGGCTGGTTCCGGGGCAATTATACCAGGAAGCGGAGCTGCGATCGCCTCTCCCACTCTGCCTCCGGGAACAGGGTAAGCGACAAGCTGACTGGCAGTTAATGATTTCTGGCAGGAAGTCCAGGAAGACTTAGCCAATGATTTAATGCAGCTACAGCTGTAAATGCAGCTAAGTGGCATAGTTGTGAGATAGAATCCTATAATAGTGCATTTTTCAGAACCACCCAGTATGAAGCACTGACTGCAGCTTAGTTAATCAAAGCTGAAGAATGAGATCTTCTGTCGTTGGTAACCATGGTGAGCTTTGACCTTTTTTTAACTGGCAGTACATAGAGAGTACCATAGTAAAGTACAGCAGAAAATGAGAATGTTCACAGGCCAAAGGATAACGTTTCCCTGTCCCTGATTCTGTCATTCTTAAATTCCGTGTGCAGTATTTTGTATGTAATACGAGTACTGCTGTACGTTTGTGAAGCTGAGTTAGGAATCGTAAGGGAGGGTTTTTATGTAATAAGGTGGAGTGACACAGTCACACAGCATCCCTGCTCTGTGGGTGGGAAGGCAGAGACGTAGGATTAAGCTGCTTCACCTTACAGCTCATAAACAACCATGACTTTCTGCCTTTAAGGCTGAAAAATGCAGCTTCCAGTCACAGCTGGAATCGAACCCTGAACCCTGAACTAATATGTTATGTATAACAATAGATTCCCGTTTGTCGTTATCAGATGACAGTCTGGTGACTCAGTGCCTTACCTTTGGCACCTGTCAGCTCCTGTCTGGAATGCTCTCAATGTAAATGACCTTGACTCTGCCTCCATTCTCATTTTAGGTCTCTAATCCTCTCCAAAGCCCCCCAACCCACCGCTGCCCCCAAACAGGCAATACTGCTGAAAGACGACGAACCACATGGTATCTCCGGATGGCCTCCACCTTGCCAACACCCCAACAAGACATTTTAATGTTGCTTTACTGTATCGGTCTTGTTTTTGCATGTCAGAGAGCCATTCAGTTAGGACTAATTACCCACTGCTTTGCAGTGTGTGAGCTTGTGTGGGTACACTAATCTTTCAGCACACACTGCAGGCACGGCACCCAGCTGGTCATTAATACACATTAATACACCAGGATCGCATACATTTTCTCTGGCCAAATCCACTTAGAAACAAGTGTGTTTAACTGGGGTGTAAGACCTGCAAATGATTTAAGTTGACATTTGCCAAAAACAGTTATAAACGAAAACAGGTTAGGGTTAGGGTTAGGGTTAGGGTTAGGGTTAGGGTTATGCCGTTAATGAGTTCACAAAGTGAAATTACTTTATATTGTCACCAGGGGCATCATTAAGCCTATTTTAGAGGGGTTAGCTCCCCCCCCAAATAAATGTACACTAATTATTTTAAATAATGTGTGCCATTTCCATCACATCCCCCTAATAAAGGCACAGCCACCCCTTTCATAAATCTCTAATGACACAATTTTTTTATCTTACATATCTGTGCAACTTCATTCTCAAAAATTTATACTGAAAAGCAATTATGGGCATATGAATATGTAATTACCATACTTACTGTATTACTATAAAGTTCCTAGCAAAACAGACTGAGACCTGGATAGGAGATAGAGGATCATAATAATCTAGCATGTTCTTGTCCTTCATTTAAGATTAACTAAACACTAAGAAGAATAACACACAGCTGCACACTTTACAGTAATTTACCTTATTGATTGTCTTCCCACGGAACATAAAAAGCAGCATATGTTCATAATGTCAGTATATTTAGACCCCAATCATAAAAAAATCAGGATCTGAAGGCTGCTTCGCAGCAGCTTTTTGAACGCTTGGTGCCATTTTGCCACTGGGTGGTGCCATTGAGATTGGCTCAATGGGTCATGGGTTAGAATCTCACCTCTGCTCTGTGCATGCAGCTTGCATGTTCTCAGCATGTTTCCTGTGAGGGACGGCAGGAGTGCAGCCTGTGTCAGGCACAGAGACACACAGCTCTGCATGTGGAACCACACGTGTGGAGCCCACGTCACACTTTAAACACAAACAGGCAAAAACAGTCTGGTTTTTAAAACTGTGCAACTCTAGCATGTTTTAATTAATAACTGTTTATTTATATCTAAGGACCAAATAAACTTCATACAGAAAAACCTTTAAAACACTTTATGTCTTTTGGCTGAATGTTTTCCAAATGCAATTTATTTTTAACCTTGTATAAATCACAGCTGCAGGTTGACTGCATTTACATTCATTTAAATTTTAAAGCCCTTTACTGACCTTGACGACTTCCTCCAATATGATGAGTATTACTCTCTTCTTCTCTTCTTCTTCTCTTCTCTGTCCCACTTCCCTCTTCATCCTTCCTCGCACCAGTGATGGAGTGGAGAGGGAGAGGGTGATGGAAGTTGGGATAAAGCAGGGGGGTGGGGCAGGGCAGGGTGGGGCAGGATGTTGAGCGATTTTGTAAATGTTAGTAATGACATTAACGCTTTGACACCAACAGAGGACCTGAAGGGAAGCAGAGAGGCAGAACAGACCGGAAGCCACAAAAGCACGTACAGCCACTGACATAACAACTAACACACTGACATAAACACTGGCTCGGTACATAAGAGAAGGAAGCAGCATCACATGCACATAGACAGGAAGCCACAAAGGCACAGACAGGCACTGTGAACAAGCAAGGAAACTCTAATAATTGACATGACAACTGACACACTGACATAAACACTGGCTGCATGCATAACAAAATGACACTGCATCACATTAATACACAATGACACTGCATCACATTAATACAGACAGGGAAACACAGAAGCTGAGACTGACAATTCTAAACACTGCTCATACCAGAAGGACTAGCGTTCAATGTGGCAGAGTTGTTGCCTATCCGAGGTCAGATATATACCAACGGATCTGAGCCCAGATCAGCGTGGGGAACCACTGCAGTGCTTTTTTACAGAAGCATCCCGCCCCTCTTGGGCAAGCCGTCAGCACTGGAGTCCAGGAAAAACAGCCCTCACCTACCGCAGAACCAATGTGTCACCGTTTCTCTTCCAGCCCCCCAGCCCCAAAAAGCACCATGTGGGATAACTTCCAGGAATGAGGAATATCTCCGCAGAGGCCTCCCACATTCCCGACCTCCATAGCCGCACTACAGGGATGGTGCGTGTTCCCCATACCCAGGCTCTGTGGATGATGCTTCTCCTGTTTCCCCACTCCGGGGATGGTGCATGTTCCCCGTCCCATGTCCCCACACTCCGGGGATGGTGCATGTTCCCCGTCCCCTGTCCCCACACTCCGGGGATGGTGCATGTTCCCCGTCCCCTGTCCCCACACTCCGGGGATGGTGCATGTTCCCCGTCCCCTGTCCCCACACTCTGAGGATAGTACACTTCCTGCGTCCCCGTACTCTAGGGATAGTGCCTGTCCCCAGTCCCCACACTTCAGAGAGGGTGCATAAACTTCATACAGAAAAGCCTTTGAAACACTTTATGTCTTTTGGCTGAATATCAGAGCTAGATAAGATTTTAACAACTCTGAGCTATTAGTTAAGTTCTCCCCAAACGAGCTTGATGGGCCGAATGGCCTCCTCTCGTTTGTAAATTTCTTATGTTCTTATGTTCTTATGTCCCCCCGTCCCTACACTCTGGGGATGGTGCATGGGTGTGTGTTCCTTTCCATTTGACCACCTCCTCTCCATCTCTCTCTGTCTACTTCACTGCCGTCACTTATTTCCTTCACCCATCTTATCTGTCCTTCCATGTTCTGGAAACAAACACCCATTGTTAATGTTATTTTATGTGCAGCCACTATCAGGCCCTAAACTTCACACTGATATTTACCTACTTAATGATATACCTGGTTAACAATATTTACACCATTAATGATATTACGGTATCCTCCATAACGATTTTACCTCCTTACCCTCAACAATATTGGCCTCTTTAACAATATTTACCCCATTAACAATGCGCCAGCTCTCCGTACAGCCGCACCTCCTCGTACCTTAACAGACCCAAGCCTCAGTCACACTTTGGCCAAATGACCTTTCAGCAGGTTCACCAGCCAAATCATGTAAAGTGTAATAGAGGTTTACATATTATTTACTGAACTGTTGGTTTTGTTTTCTGATCAAAGTACAGACGCTCCTCTACTTACGAATGAGTTACGCTCCGAACGGCCATTCATAACTTGAAATGTTCGTAAGTCGTTATACACCATCATTTTAAGGGTATATGCAAGTACAAAGAACTAGGATGCTTGGAGTATGCACGCTACGCTGCTGCGCGGCGGGAGTAGCGGCCAGAAGTCATACTAGGCGGGATTGGCACACAGAAAAAAAAAATTAATGTTGCAGACAGGAAACGGGAACCCAAAGAACACAATTTTTACTTACAGTCCTCTTCATTCGTATGTCTGAAAGTTTGTAAGTTGAAAGTTTGTAAATAGAGCAGCGTCTGTATAACAAGCATTGTTCTAATGTTACTGTGCCAATTCAATAAAAATGTATATACCTATATTATAATTCATCTTTTTGAGAATAATTGTGTATTATCACTCTCTCTGCTGCATGTATATCCACCCCTATGTCCATGAAAGGTGCCACTATCACACTGTGTAATATTTGCTGAAAACCTGTCTCATAACAGTGTGCATTTAAATGAATCCAGAACTTTCTCCACATCCAATCACCAATTCTGGGGCAGCTTGCAAACACCATACAGAGGATCAATTTACATAATCTGCATAGTTACAGTGTGAAATGTGCACTTCATTTTTAAGGACTGTGAATCAAATCATAAGGGTTTCAGGTAAAGCAAAGTTTCCACTCTGCTGTTTGTGCATAGAAGTGATGGGAAAGAGAGAATGGATGCATGGAGGAGCTCGAGTGAGAAGCGCCGTTTACAGAGATGAAAGCGAACAGCATGCCGGATTGTTGACATTGTGGTGCAGAGGTCAATAAGGTGCCAGATCGTTTGTGATCTCGGGCAGAGTGGCAATGACAGCTGTGTGAATAGCTTTGCCATTGTCTCATCCGCATTACTTACTTACTCACAGCATATCAAATACGTTACAGGAATATGACCACAGCTGTTGTGATTGGTCCAGCCAGAGGCAGCCATATTCAGGTATATACCTGTCATGAAAGTAAAAATATTTAAGATGCCAGACAAACATTGCCTAGTTTCCTATTTTCAGAGAGCCAGCAGTGTCACCCAGACATTTTTGCATGAAGACCCAGGACCAAGCTTGGTATGCCCAAGAGTAGGGCCAGATTATCGGATGATGCCTGATGCTACAGTCACAGTGTTACCGCTGCGTTTTGGCTTGTGTTTATTATAGTCTATTGTGATCTGCTGCTTTAGTCCACTCAGGGAGACAACCGTTAAGCTGCACTAATCCTGAGAATTTACAACACACTATAAGAACTATTTATAGCTTTTATACATTACGACCAGTCCCATGACTGGGCTCTTTGCGGCCTGAATCATCAACCACCTCCATTAGGAAGGCCACCCACCCAGCCACGACCTCCTCATGCTCTCCAGGATCGGCATATGCGAGGGGATTTTCAGCCAGGAGGTGTACAGCATGTAGCTGGGTCAGTTCACACTCCGTTAAGAGTGCTGAAATATTAGGGGCACACCTTACCATCCAAACATCGGCGAGTAGAACATCTTAATCAGGCCCTAAATGTTACTGGTCATGACGAGCTGCGGCTGCCGTCTTTGGGATCTTCAGAAGAGCCACGTATGAAAATTACCCCGCAACCCCGAAGAGGAAAGACCAATATTCCACAATGAAAACCTCAACAAGCAGGAATGGGTGTTATGAAAAGCTTGTGTCTACTTGCAAATACTGACAATATGAAAATATATCAGTATCATACTAGAGGGGAACAGAGATAGGATAAATTAAAAGGGGCTAATATCCATGGACGTTTATTCAAGTGGGAGGTTCTGCTGCTTCCTTTTCCAGTCATGACTGGTCATGAGTAGCGGATTTGCTAGTAATTCAGGGGAGCAAAGAGGAATTTAAAGCACAGCAGCTGGAGAGGAATCAAGCAGGCTGAGGCAGAGCTTGACGCGGTACGAGATCAAACCGGCATGGGGAAGGCAGCCACTGTCACCAAGACTGCTAAAGCCACGCACCTCAGTTACAAGCAAACAGCAGACAACAGAAAGACTTCACGCTTTTATTTTGAATTAAATCAGATCAGATAATTACCAACATAATTACATCACTGTTATTACTTTATGGTTATAATTTAGAATAATTACCACAGTAGCCATACACTGTATTACCATTGTTAGCTTTTATTGTCACTACTGTTTAGAAAATGCAAGGTCATCAAAATGGAACTAAGAAATATGACAAACCGTTGAGTCTAAGTGTGTGGGGGGGTCCTCATTCCCTTTAATACCTTCATTTATGTTAAAAGAAGCCCCCTGAAGTGGCCCCTCAGCCACCGAACCCCCAACATTGAAGTAAAGGCCTTTAAAACACACCGCCCCCATGTGGCTGGAGGGAGTGCAGCAGGTACCGGCAGCCAGGTGTTCTGCATGCAGGTCAGCACACCAAAATGCTTTTCTGGATCTGTGTTATTCACTAAGAAAATGTGACCTAATTTGCAGGAAATGCAGGGCAATGACGGGATTATATTCCACCAGACCCAACCAGAGATCCACAGCCGTTTGTCATGGGAATGTTCAAAGGTCCAGTGAACCCAAATGCGAACACAGGACACTTCAGGAATGGGCTTTGGAAACACATAAAGGAAGCAGACTGGACCGGAACTACAGGCTCTTCAGAGGGACAATCTTTGGTTCCGAATCTGAATTTTCCAGCATTTGGGACATAATGTACTTCCGTTTGCTACATCAGGACTATGGCAACCCCTCCCAATCCCTGAAAGAACCCACAAGAATGAGGTGCTGATGAACTCATAAGCCTGGCATCTACGCAGGGTGAAGAGCCTCGACACAGATGTCCCACGGACGATGCTCTTATGGGTATCCTGATTCCCATTATCTCTACTGTGACACCATCCTAGTGGAATCAGCCAGGAAGTGGGGGGGGGGCCCGGAAACTTCCAGAAGAAGCGTCATGTTGACCTCTAGAACACAGGCCTGTCAGTACTGCGGCAGCCCATCAGGACATGTCGGGCACAAACAGTGCAGCATCTCTCAGAAAGGCATGGGGGCGGCGCCGAGGGGAAGCAATGTTATAGGTTAACAGAAAGTGCCGTGCTGCTGGGAGCGTCAGCCATAGGCTGTGTATTTACATAGCCCCACCTCCGTCCTCCTTCATGCATCGCTCAGCTTTGACGGACAGCAAAGCCTTCCAATCCCTGTGCCATAGGGACAATATGAGCAGGCGCTAGGTCTCTGGGTTAGGCGTGGCCAGTAGGGGCACGTTGTCCCTCCTCCTCCGGCCCAGCGGGGGGCGCCGGTATTGCTCCCCGTCGGCCAGTGTCTGGGGCAGGGGCTTCCTCTTGCTCTCAGGCAGAAGGAGAATGGAGAGGACAGCCAGGAGCGCCAGGGAGGAGTACACTACGTGATGCAGGAAGTAGCCGTAGCGATTGCGTAGATCCATGAGCGGTGAGCTGAGGCGGCCGACACAACCCAGGGCCAGAACCGCGCCCACCCCACTGCCCCTGTGGGGGTTGGTGAGGGTAACGCCAAGGGGAACAAGGGGTCAAACATTACAAGTGTCAAAAGACCAGCAATATCTGCTTACACAGCACACATGGAGAAGCCTACCAGTTCACTGTGAAACTTTACTTCAAAACAGTCAGAAATCAGCTCTAAAAACAAACAAGTTTGAATTATCAAAAAAAATGGACCAATGGACAAAGGTGAGGACAGACCATTACCTGATAACTGTAGGAATGACTTCCGCAGTGAAGAGGATGGACAGGAAGGCCGCGGCCTGAGAAGAGAACAAGCCCAGCACGGAGAAGACCGTGATGGCTGACTCAGTCAGGTCTGAGAGGGAGAGAAAGCGAGAGCTAGTTACTGCAGAGCACTGCCTGGGATAGGGCATGGGCAGATCCAGCTGGGTCAAGGAAGATGTTGCTGTAATAGCCACAAATGGCCACACGATGGCAGCAGACACAACAGAATCTCAACATCCACAAGAGAAACGGTTCAACTTACACTCCATCAGCCCTAAAAGGATAAGCGAAGCCAGTCCCGTCATGGTCATTGTGAGCAGAAGGATGCCGCGCCGACCACACCGGTCCACGGTGGCCCATAGCAGCAGCCAAGCACCACCCCCCGCGCAGACTGAAAGCAGGTACGTCCAATAGAAGCTAGGGGCGGTGCCTCTGACGTCACCGCGGAACGAACTGTAACAGTGGTTGATGCCATGCGAGATGAACCTGGAGGAAAGAGAGAACAGCCATTACAAGCCTGAAGAGAGCAGCAAAGTGCACAAGCCAACAGCACAAGCGTCAACTAAACCCGGACAGCCACCCATGCTTGACTTTCAGAGGGCAAACAACACTCACGAGGTGAATCCCAGCACACAGAGGTTCTTCCAGATGTTCCTGCTGCGCAGAAGCTCAGGGAAGGACAGGTGGGGGCGGCCAGAGGGAGGGGCTTCAGACTCCAGCTCTGAGTGGAAAAGCACGTGAGCAGGGTGGGGGAGATGGCCAGGACACTGGCACCCCCTGCAGGACGGCAGGCCACCAGTTACCTGTGAAGCTGTCGTCATCTCGCTCCCGGCGGTCGCTGAAGGAGTGCAGGTCCGACGGCCGCTCGGAGAGGAGAAGCCAGCGGGGCGATTCAGGAAACACCCCAGGCATGCTGTCGGGGGGGGGGGGGGGCAAAAGAGGCCGTCTGTCACATTTTATAGCTGGGTGAAGTCATGCAGACTGTTGCTCAAATATTCTCAAGCCGATTGCGTCCCTTCCCTCCCTCACCCGTAGCTCAGGAAGAGAGACAGCGGCGCCACCCCCACTCCCAGCAGCCCCCGCCACGACTGGCAGCCCAGAGCCACGCCCAGCAACAGCAGCTCCCCAGCAACGGTTGTCAGGCCTGCCGCCATGGTGACCGGCAGCCTCAGCGATGGGTCACAGAGCTCCACACCTGGTGATGACATAGAATCACAACCCAGATCACGACTGCTTTAGAGTGTGGATCACATGACTTTATTGACACATGACACTTTAATACAAAATAAGTAAGATTCAGTTTTGCAGTGATAATTGATAAAAAATAATAAATACCAGTGGATTATCTTTAGATATTCTACTGAAGGAAACACATAACATAGCAAACAGTATAGAACACGCAATATTAACTCAGACCCCGTTTGGTTGATCCATCCGCCCGCCCCCAACTCACGCGTGACATAAAGTGTGAGGAAGACTCCAGCAGTGACTGCGGCGAGGCAGAAGCGGGTGACAATGAAGGCGGCGGGCGAGGGGCACACGCACACCAGCACTCCAAAAATGACAGACAGCGAGAGTGAAGCCAGGAGAGTCTTCAGCCTGCCCAGCCTGACGGAGAAGGAATGAGGCACAGACAGGGATGGAGGAGTCACTGACAGGCACTCTACCTGGGACACCCTTCATGGGTACGGATTCACACCCACATCCATACAGACAGAGCCTCCACCTTATATGTAAATCATACCTTACTGGAGCTCAACTCCGCCTCCTCCAACGTTAACATTTTTTCTTAAAGTCCCAAAATTTTGTAAAAGATTCAAAGTGAACAGTTGAATAAATCATGTTCTCCATCACCTTTAATATTAATTTTCATTAGTCACTCTGATTTCTCAGGTGGATGAGATATCCCTACATGTCACCTTGACTTCTGCCCTCTGCATTTGTCTTTTGACTTATTTCATTTACCGTACTGCTGCCAAAGCTTCACTTACTAGCTACACTCTGCTGTAAGACGTGTGTTAGAAGCGATCCGTGAATAACTTGACGTTTTAGTGCATCTTCACAGGAGCAAATGAAAAAAATGCATCAAAATATTCTTGCCTTAACATTCATTTTCATGTTATGTTTCAAAATATTCAAGGACTATTTAAGCACACAATATGTACAATATCTATATAAAAAAATACTCTGATCATATTTTTTATTTATTTTGTATTGCTTGCAAGACAACAGGCTGACATATTAACATACTGCATCTTCAAGACTGCAATCATAAATACACATGATAACTAACAAAGTAATGTGCAGGTGACATATTCAGCCCCCCCCCCCCCCACTCTGTACCTGACAGGACTCCTCCTCCTCTCTGATTTAACCCTTTCCCACAACACTGCATGGAGTCACCTCTACACAACCTTCAGCCGCATGAAGTGATTACGGTCAGTTTCAGCAACAACAAGATCAGTTGCACCCCCCCACTAAAATCCCCCCAACAACACACACCCCCCCAGCCCTCTCACCGGTCAGCCGCATAGCCCAGGGTCAGGAAGCCCGTCAGCAGGCCCAGGATGAAGCAGACCTCCTCCACTGGCACCAGCCAGTACTGACCACACACCAGGTCCCACTGGCAAGAAAAGGACAGCTCTGTTAGTCAGGTCAGCGGAGCCAGACTCTCTGTTAATAACAGCACTGTAAAAATCACTGTTTATCTCCCGTTCTTAGAGCCATCACTGATGCTGTTATGGAGATGGGACACTGTACAGCTGTTTGCATGCACCGTAACACATAATAACCCCATTTGTTCAAGTTATCATCATGAGGGAATTGTTCAAATTCAGCATGTTAAGGCTTTTCATCATTCTGATCTTTTAGGTTCCAGGTTCTCACCCCAGGTGATTTAGAAAACATACTGGCTACTGAACACCACTGACTACAACACTGCCAGCACGACACTGACCGGACAACACTGACTGCACAACACTGACCGGACAACACTGACTGCACAACACTGACTGCACAACACTGACCGGACAACACTGACTGCACAACACTGACTGCCCCAACCACCTCTGACCAGCCACCACAGTCCACTTCAGCTCATATCCAAGCAGCAGAGGACAAAATGCTCACAGTTTTTGCACGTTTTCTCAAGAGTCACCAGAACTTCAGAGACAATGAAACCTCCTGCAAACCAGAGGCTCAAACACACCAAACCGGCCGTGCCGGAATGGAGGGCAGAGTGTGCCTACAGCCCCACCCCGTCTCACTATGTCTTGCACCATCTTGCCACGTCTCGCCCAGGGGCAGTGTTCAAAAGGAGCCCCACCCAAGATCAGGGGCTGATCTCCCACCCCCCATCCCCGACACCTGTTTGTCAGGCAGCACTGGGCAGACCTCAGTAACATAAACTCTGAACATGTGGTGGACCAAGAATGACTGTGACACCACAACAGGGTTGTCAGGAAGCCTCATTCATCTCGCCCAGTGCAGGACACACCGACCAGGGCAAGATAAACTGACCACAGCAGGACATACCGATGAGGGCAGAACACACTGACCAGGGCAGGACACCGGGTCAGGACACACCAACCAGGGAGGGCCACACTGATGGGGACGAGACACACCGCCCTGACCTTGACAATGGCTATTGGAGACATCTGACACCATCCCTTAGATCACTGGCCAACTGGAAACTTCCAGATATATCAGTTCAATTTTATTAAAAAGCACAAACACACACCTTCATGTGGTATTTACTGCTGGTTTTGGGTCTGGGGAAACAGGCCCGGACCCAGATCCCGCCAATGTGAGCCAGAACCTGCACTACCGCCCCAGCACAGAGTCGCTGCAGAGCTCATGCAGAGAGGCATCCCTCTGCTGACAGACGGCTAGCGAATACATCACTACAGCAGAATCCACTCCAGAGCCTTCCAACAGCGAGCGAAACACCTGGGACAGGAATCGCCTGCCTCAGCAAAGAGGGATAGTGGGCAGAGTGACAGGCTAAATGCACCTCAGACACCATGAGCGAATGCCGCCTCACAGCCCCGGACGAAGCCTATAGGGCCGACACGGGAAACGAATCAAGAAGAAATCAAGTCAGTAAAATCACCAGCATTACATGTAGCGCTCACACACACAGCACACCCTCCGGTCTCCTGGCGACGGGCCGGTACCTCGGTAACGATGTTGTTCCTGAGGCCCTCCGTCACGTTGTACTCCCAGCCGCTCTCACAGGCCTCCAGTCCCACCTGGCTGCCGTTTACAAACTCGTACTGCTGGCACTGGGACCAGTGGCCGGGGTCGCCGGGGTGCGACCCCGTCTCCCATGGCAACGAGGAGTTGAGGAGCTGCGGTGACGGCGAAGGCACTGGCAGCCGGCAGCGGTGGGGTGGAGAGAGAGTGAGGAGGGGGTCGGAGGAGAGCAGGAAGGACAGGAAGAGGTTGGGCAGGACAGAGAGAAAGAGTAGCAGCCTCTGTCGCTTTCGGCCAAGAGCCAGGACCATGACCTCCCCCGTGGGGGGCAGAGAGGGGGG